GTATAAATAAGTATTTATATTTGTGTACAAGCTGTTTAGATTGTCAAAAAGCCTGTGTTTTTAGGATTGGTAATGAAGTTTGTGTACTCAGACCAGTAATATTTGGGGTCACAAGTTTTTGCCATGGATATTTTGTGGGTCAGAAGATAAAAAGTTTGGGAACCACTGGTCTAGGCTGTAGGAGAGATGTGCTGGATGTCAGCGTTGCAGAGTGGGAGCAGTGTATGCAAAGTGGGTTCTCAGTCTTGTTTGATCACATCTCAGAAATCTTGAATTTTTTTATTTATTGTTTTCTCAACAGTGTGAACGATATCGTCGCTCTGGGCGTGGACCGTTTCTATGCCACCAACGACCACTACTTCCACAATAAAATCCTGAAATATTTGGAGGTCCTTCTGCTTCTTCCCTGGACTAACGTGGTGTACTACAGTCCCRAGGAGGTCAAAGTGGTCTCTGACGGCTATTACTTTGCAAACGGGATCAACATCTCTCCAGACAAAAGGTAGGAAGGATCTGCCCAGGTTGCGAGTTTTACTTTATTTTGTTTTATTTTTTTACACGTCTGAATTTTGTTGCAGTAGTTTTGTGCATCATTTACAGGTACATATACGTGTCGAGCATATTTAGCCACGATGTGCACGTGTTGGAGCGGAGGGAGGACAACGGGTTGACTCCTGTGAAGGTGAAACAAAGCAGCGTGAATGTTTGCTGAGGGGTTTAGTTTTACAGTGTTTTCAGGAACCGGTTGTTTCATTATGACCTGCTGCCGAGACGTGACGGCTGTGTGTGTTCATGTGTGTTACCAGGATTTCTCATTAATCATGCCACAAATTTTAATAATATTTGCAGAGTAATCATTGGGTGTGCAACTGATTAACTGTAGTCAGGATGGCTGCCACAGCCAGCTGAGCTAAAAAAACACAAAAATATCTAAAAGTCTGTCAGTTTTACAGATAATAAAGCTTGGTTTGATAACTGATACTGATGCACAACACATCTAATCGATTATAAATTGTGCATAATCTTGGTTGTTTTTAAATACGCTCTATATTGATATTGTATGTATCTATATGTATTGATATTGACTTAATGATATTTTAAAGATGACTGAAATTGCTGTTATTTCTTGTGGTAAGAGAATCTTAGTTTAAATATCCAAAATGCTTTTCTTCAAGGAATGTTAGACCTTAGTTTAATAGGTTTATATTTCCAATCAGTTTTTATAATAAACCTCATTAAAATCTTCATATTTAATACTAATATAAGGGAATAGTTCAGATCTGTTGAAGTGGGATTTCGTGAAAAGTTATTAAACAACTACGTAACATCTTACCTGTTGTAGATAGCACCTTGACTAAGGCTCGAAGTCGACTGTTTTTGATCCTGAAACAACTCTGATTCTTGAATATTTATAGTGGTTAATGTCACTGACTGTTTCACATTCCAGGGTTATTCTGGCAGAAATATTACAAAATTCCTACAGGAAGTTCCCCAGGCTGCAGTGCACCTGCTACAGCTAGCTGCTGTCGCTATTCATGTTTGCAAAAACCACAAATCAAATATACAGCAAATACACTGTTGTAGCACTTTAAAATACATTAAAATAACAAGTAAGATTTTCTTTCTACTTAAACATAGAACTGACATTTATTTGAAATGTAAGTAAGTAAGTAAGTAAAGTTTTATTTATAGAGCGCCTTTCACAGAAATATGTTCACAAGGTGCTGTACAATCAGGGAAGGGGGCAGTTAAGAAACACCCACTCAAGAAAACACACATGGCAACCATGGGGGAACAGGTGAAACCGGTCATGCAGCAAACAGAGTTGTGCTACCTTTAACAGAAAAACTAAAAACCACACAAGGGAAGATGAGGAAAAAAACAAAACAAAACATCATATTATATCAATACTGTGACACACTATGGTGTTTATTTAAAAAAACCTCTGCATAGGGCAGATTTATTAGCCAGAGGAGTAAGTGAGTTCAGTGGGGCGTGTATSTGAARCCATGAATGTTGAATGCACTTGTGTGAATATCTGAAGAATGAGCCCGAAGAATCMGGTCCCCAAAACCAGTACCGCCGTAGTTCAGAATATGGATGGTAATTGTTCATTCTGTGCGGCCCTCAGCTTGGTCCAGGAACCAGATCAGGGGCGGGGGGTACATGCAAAGCATTCTGGGTAAATGATGACGTGGATAGGTCCTCGGTGCGAGGCTGCTAGCGAGCTATATCCACC